TATTCTACCCTCCCTCCTCCTACCACCCTATATTCTACCCTCCCTCCTCCTACCACTGTATATTCTACCCTACCTCCTCCTCATCCATATATTCTACCCTCCCTCCTCCTACCACCCTCTATTCTACCCTCCCTCCTCCTACCACCCTATATTCTACCCTCCCTCCTCCTACCATCCTATATTCTACCCTCCCTCCTCCTACCTCTAATCTTTATCCATCATAATGAAACAATTAGATAAGTGAACTATTATATAAATGAAACTATGTGTTAATTATAAATTCCAGTGAAATACTAACCATCAAGCAAACAGATCATTATCCAACACAGGTTTGATCTCATCTAGATAAGTAATTTAATTATTAAATTATTTTATATTGATGATATTAGATTACATCAAGTCAGCTTGTGCAACTATATTTTATTCTTCTTATTTTTCGTCTGTCTTAAATCCTTTTTGATTTTCTTCATTTTCTAACAATTATTAAACAAAAGTTAATTAGTTTTAAATTTGACCAGTTAGTTCTTTAAAACTGAACCGAGCTTAAAGGCTTTTAAATAATCTTATCTAGGGCTACAAAAAAAAGGATCAGAAGTTCAGGCTTGGGCACGATTAAAAGTAGGCCTGATCACACGTAGTCTACCTATGAAAAAGTCTCATTAATTTTTAAGACTGGGTCGACTTTGAAGTGTCGCAACGCGTTCGGCTTTGATTTTACCGCTCTAACTCGATTGTGCTTTTAATTATGTAGCACTTTACATGTAAATTTTAACACTATATAGCACTTGTTTTTAGCCTTGGTTTGTAAGAAGTAATTGGAAAAATTCTCATCGAGTTTTGCTTAAGAGCTTGCAACCTTTAAATCTGAAATCAATGCATCATTAATTATCATAACTGCGAAGATTGCTAGGTCACGAACACTTTTTTTTTATAATTTATATTGTATTGGCTTCAGCTCCTATTGGAAGGTTCCATAGTTCACTTGTGATCTATGCTCCCACCCCCACTGCACTGCTTCCGGCGTAAACCAACCAATCAGAGAGAAGCTAAGTACCCTGGCGCTCTCTGATTGGTCGAGAGAGTTGGGTATATCACCACTCTGCCGCCTTTATGCAAATATACTACAGGCAATGGTACCCTAATGCCGCCAAGCTTTGACATAAGTCAGCTAGAAGAGAATGCTTTGATAAGATATCTTTTAATCAAACTATTTTTATATTCAGGCTTATTTTCAATCTTCACGTTTTAACACGCATTAATTAGCCGTTAAATTCTTTTATTTAAAGTTACATGAAACGTATTTATATTACGACACAGCGATTGATTAACTCGATCTTTATTTAAAAACTTAACAATGCTTTCTATAAAAAAATGGAGAACACTAATGAATAATTATGGATTTTGCCAAGGATCAAATGTGCATATACATCTCTTCAGTTTTAATATATTTTACTAGACTTTCTGAGTTTGTCCTTCACGTAATAAACTCCTTACATTTAGATCAAATGTGAATCAAATGTGTACTTATACAGTCGTCGTTGTATGTATCAATACACTTAAGAAGAGAAGTTTTCAAGTTGACAATGAACATCTTCTCTTCGCTTACTTGTAAACTTGTAATTTGAAGAATTCTTGTAAGGGATTCACTATAGTCACGCACCTCTGTCCCTTTAGTAAAAGTAAATTCAACCTATATGAAGCATAAAGTCTGACCGCGTCAACCTTGTTGCACCGGCTAGTCCTGTATATAGAGCTAGGTATAGTACAAACTGGGACCAGAAAGGTTGACCCGGCTCGAAAATTCATATGCACTACGGCTCCCCGTGTAGTTTCAGTAGAAGTAAATATTTTCATTTACTGTTATAGCGCCGATATAAGGATTTATCTCTAATTGGATGATGAGATAGATAGAAAGATAGAGTTTACCGCCATGCAATTTCTATTGGTTCAGAATAGACACCAAACACATGACTGAACCCTGATTGGATCAGGCGCTAATGAACCTGGCATACTAGAGTGGATTATTGATAAAAAGTCGTTTTTATTGTATTGATATAATTGCTGACCAGAAGGATTGAAACGGACCCTTGGCTGTTGATTCTGTAGTAGTCTTAAGTTTAGCCTTTCTCAGACAAAAATATGATTTCTTGGCGTGTTATAAAAGTAAGAACAATGCTTTTAATAATTCTATAAAATTTAACTCATGACAACTTTTGGGTTTGGAAATTAATTTCGATTTATTTTTATATTCTCATTAGTCCTTAAAGAACGGTGGTATTGAAAAAAACTTTAAGTTGAAAATTCTTTAACCAATGAGATCTTAGTTTTGTTTTTTAATCAAAGTTAGGGTTTTAAAAGATTAAATAAATGTAATAAAATTAATAAGTTTCCATTTTATACATGGCAAAGTATGTATGCTTGGTTTCTGATAAATGTCAGAACAGATACACCGTTCTGGCAAAATTTTTCGGAATTGTGGAGAATATTTACAGCCGCAACGGCCGGAATAAAAACAGAACAATCTGCAATTTTTTTTAGCTTTTCATAAATGGCGAAAAAATGGATTCATGTAAAGCAACATTTAATAAATTAATTCATTGGCATGGGACGCTCTTGAAGAAAACTCTTATTAAATGGTATCATTAGCAATTTGAACTCACATCCTTTATATCACTCTGGACCGTAGTAAATTTGAATTCGAACGGGACCTGCCCAGTTTGTACCGGCCTGCCAGACAACAGCGCGTACTGGCCCGATCCTATGGTACAGTACGTTGCCCTAACCAGACTAACATACGTTCTTGGCATAGTCCCGTCGGATGGCTAACTTTGTCAACTCCCATGGCGCGTTCAGACTTTTTACAGTACCTGGCCTAACCCTAGGCCTATTTGACCGACCCCACTGGCTTAGTCCACCGTGATATATATATATATATATATATATATATATATATATATATATCTTACACAGACCTCAATGGAGATTGGAGCAAGTCCATGAATCATCGTGTAGAAGGAATTGAATTTTAATTTTGATTGAATAATAAATTGATTATATATCTTATATATATATATTTTATAAAAAAAATCGAAATAAAATATACTTTTTCTCATAAAATTTAAACAATTTTTTAATGTCCCTTGAGATGGAATTTAAAGAATTTGAGCCGCAGTTTAAATCCGCCAAAACCCGGTTTAAATTAAGCGCCGGCTTAAATCTTGAAACATTTGATACAATTTTAAGTGGAACCAACCATATTTAAACCGCGGCTTAAATTTAAACCGCCGCTCAAATTCTTTAATTTCGGCCATTGGTTAAAGATTTACAGAATGCTGTTGTGAATCATGTATGATATGTTAACAACCCTTTAGGCCAATTATATACTGTAAGAATATCTGCGCCTGTAAAAGATAAATGCTTGGGTAGATAGATAGATACAAGATAACCAAATGCAGACCAACTAAAGATAAAAAGTGATGATGAATTGATTAAATGATGTTCATTAATAATATGAAGTTGCACAGAGAGACACACAAGACAATGTTTGACAGTAAATACAGAGTAATTTAAAAAATAAAATTCATGAAATGTCATGCAAAAATAATTACTTTTTAAAAGTTGTTTCAGCTAAAGAACAAGTGCTTTTGAGTTTAAAATCTTTAAGACTTTATGACATTAAAATTCAACCCAGTTTTGAAAAAAGATATCTGCACGACAGTTTAATAGATTAAAAAGAAACGATTGTGTGTCACTCAATAATAACATTCTAAGCCCCTAAAAACCATATTTATTTCAGCATCACCGTGCTCTAAATGACACATATTGATTATTTGATAAGAATGCATTAAGTTTGCCTAATCTGTGCTGGGTATATCTCTATATAGATACGGGCCCTTCAATCATTAAACATAATATTTAAATATCATATCGTGACAAACTTTAAATATACCGAGAATCATTATCTCTCATCTTCAGAACTTTTAATGTACAATTATCTTGAAATTATCTTTAATTTTTCTTCCCCAGTTTGTTTTTGTCCTTTTTTCTTTTCGCAAATTATTTATTTTCACATTCTTCTTCAAAACTGTAACAATTTGAACCGCTAAAAAAGTTTTTGAACCATATTTCGAATTATCAGTCCCACTTCACTATAATCAAGGTACTAATGCAAGGAAAGTTATTTCAGAGGTGTACACATTTGTAGTACTGCAGTGTACTGTCTTAGGGCGGAAAAGTAAACACAAGACGGATGTCGAAGCCTGACATGGAATCCATTTTCACTAAAATAATCTATGAAATATTCTGGTCTTAGGAAACTATTCTGTGAATTTTCAAAATTATCAAAATTGAATGTTTTTATCCTTCTCGGATACTAAACGAACACATGAGGTTGCATCTATTCTTGTTTACAAATTCCGCCCAGTGAGAACTGGTTTCAATGTGTACGCAGAGTATACGCGACCGCAATTAACTTTCCTTGAATAAGAACCTTGACTCTAACCCCCGTATTTGTGGGCCCCTCTGCAATGGCTTATCCCACAATATGCACACGTTCAACCTAAGGATTAAATCATGTTCTTATTCTCCTCTTTAGTGTTATAAAAATAAAAAGTATTCACATCTGTTTAATCCTAGTATCCAAT